TATATTTACTGAGAAAAATGTTGACGTGTTCAATACTTATTTTACCCGCTGTATCATGCTTTTAAATTCTTCTTTTTCACATTTGAATCATTTGGGATCTATATAAAGTGGAACTACAACACTTTGGTCTGAATTCCTCTTAATTGTAACTCCACAAGCCCCTCTTTCACCCCTTTTCTGAGGTGTCAACTCATTTTGAGACTGTACCTTTAAATCCAAACAAGGTGCTTCACACCTCACCCCTCTCCAGTTTCCAGAACAGGTGTGTGTGTGTATGACTATATAGCTGCACAGAAACGTTTTATTTACAAATGATTTAAAAGATGTCAACAAGGGAAGACTTTTCCATCCAGCCTCACATGTTGGAGCCAGAGTCTGACCCAGAACCAGAGGAGAATGAAGACCACCAAACTGTATCTGGCAAGTCCAGACCTTATTTAGAAGTTCCGTCACAAAAACTGTAACTTAATAGTTCAGAAAATGTCATAGAAAATAGAGAAAACTGAACAGGTTGAAAAATATGACCCAAACAGAATATAAAGACGTCAGTGTGCATTGACATTCAAGTACATTACAAAATGTATTTAATGTCTAAAAAAGTAGATTCTGCATATGTGTCCTTTGATATGAATCAGGTCGGTTATATTGTAAAATACTCTTAATAAGTTGTTATAAAAAAACTACAATCGGATTATAAACCTACACAACCCTAATTAATGTGGTTTTTATTTGTTTACTTATTCATTTTTCTGCTGTAGCACCCTCAGCTCCCCTAGTTCCCGTGGCCTGGGTTGTGAAGCACAAGTACATAATTATTTATAAGATAATTTTATAAAAAAATGTTCAACTTGTTTTAGTTCTGCGTTCCGATAAAGGCCAAGTTTGTTTTTGGAATTTCAACATTTTCTGGAACGTGGCCGTTTCTCGTTACTTTTCGGGAACAATGGATGTGAATTACTTTGCAGAGCAACCACTATAGCTAATTATACCACACACACTCCTCTTCCTCCCCAAGCCTTCTCCGAAAACTGATCCAGCTTCATGCAGAGGAGAGAGCAGACACTCACCACAAAGAGCTGTCACTCTGCCAAGAACCTCTTTTTTTTTCATTTCCCTGTTTTGCTTTTGATGAAAAGACACACCAGTGATGTTTCAGGGTCTTAGTGGAGACAGACAGCATGGGTTTGATGTCTTCTGTAGCTACTTTTTCTGGACTACAGGAGTCCACAGGCGCAGACCTGCTGTCGCAGAAACCAAAATTCTCCCTTWTTTTGTTTTTTTRTTTTCACTGAACATCCCGCTGAGCTGTTAGCCATGTTTTCATGCTCTGCCCCTTCTGTGTGCTTCATCAGGAGTACTGAAGGACTACCTGCGTGAACTGCCCTACCCTCTGATCAACAAGCCGCTGTACGAGGCAGTGCTGGAGACCATGGCCGTGAGACCTCTGAAAATGGGCGCAGCGGGGTGCGGGAACAATCAAGCGGACTCCGAGTACACCGTCAGCCTGCTGGAGAACCTGCCGGAGGTGGAGAGGGTGAGGGATTCTCATATTGCTCCTGCAGTCCTCACAGAGAGAAAATGTGATTACAGATTGGGGGAGGTCATTAATGGGTCCGATGGATAGCCCTTCATTAGAGCTAAAAATAAATAAATAAATAAAATAAAAAAAAATCTGAAGCTCCTATGATGAATAGTTCTTAAGTCAGGGCTATTCAACTGGTGGCCCGCGGGCCACATCCGGCCTGCGAGTGACAAAGTTCGGCCCGCCACTTTGTTTATTCATCTCTTAAGCCCAAACCCCCGGTTTTCTACTTTAATTACTCTAAGTTCTTTTAGTTAAACATAGACATGTTTGGTTTCTACTGAAATGTCAGCATCTTGGCTAGACGCTGGTAAAAACCATTTCTATAAACACTCAAGGCAGTTAAAACCACAAGCAGTTGAAGATAAAGTGATGAAAGTGAAAATAAAATTGGTTTAAAAAAATTGGCAAGTCAGAGATGTCAAAATACTATTTGTGTCAAATAGGAGGCAGAATGTGTT